TTCCACCCTTCACGTGGTTGTGCGAAAAGAGCCCTTCGAGGAAATCGGTCGGCCGGCATACGCAGCACGTGGCCGAGCCAGCGCAACAATTTTGTGACAATTTTGATAGAAACATTAGAAGCTGACAGTTCTCACAAACACAGTCGGAAAGTTGTAAGTGTAAGCTGACCTTTGTTGCAGTATCTCCAAAGAGGTTGCGATTCTCTATGTAACGCTGGGTGCTTGGGCTTCATATAGTTTTCGTGCCCAAACGTATTGCACAGGCAGTCACAATAATGGTAGCTTTTTGGGCCACCCTTACGCCAGCATTTAACAACTGGTGAGGAAGAAATACGAGTTGCGAACGTTGTAAAAAAAAGGCCATAACGTGTCTTCGGGCAGCTACACGGCTTCGTTAGCCTACCGGCTCTTCCTGCGTTTGCTGACACCCAGAGGCTTTCGCAAAAAATTGCATTTACAAGCTCGCTTTCACCACCTAACATCTGGTGGACAAATTACGGGTCTTGGGCTACGGGCTAAGCTTATCAGTGATCTCAAACAAGGCTTCAACATTGGTCATCAGACAGAAACTCCAGTACTCCTATTCGTAATCTAGTAATGGAAGAGACGGGTGCACGTGGATGTTTCCGCCATGCGTGTGTATGCTCAAAGTGAATAACTGTTGCCGTACACGTCGATGTATGGTATATCAAGACTATGTAGCTTAACCTCAATTTAACGACTTTCGGCCTTTCTACTTTACACTCTTATGAAGTGCTTTTTACTGCACATAATCGCCTAATATCTAAAAGTTTGTGGTGGAAAAAGTATCTTCATCAGACTTGTTCAGGCGAGTCCCCGTGAGGCATATTGAATTGTAGCCGATCAGCCTATGGAAGTTAACTTCCGGGATTCTGTCCAGTTCCTTAAAGTTACAAATGGCTAGACTGGTTAGAGGACTAGCTACTGAAATGCATTCGGCAGATGACTGCACTTATTGTCCAGACGGAACATTTACTCATAGGTTTTCTGAAAGCACTCAGACGACCCACGGCTAGACAAAAGCGCATTGGATATCTTGAAGATTCTTACAGCTGAAACACGGGGCGGTCTGGTGTATCACATTCAATTGAAGCGGTCCATCAGCTGGATTCAGTTAAGTCACCTTTCAAAGCCAAATTCGTATGCAAACGAGAGTGTTTCTTGATGACTGTACTTAGTTTTACTGCCTAACTAGCACGCTCAAGAACGGTAGTTCCAATGCGTGAATATTTCATTACTGGAAGCGTGTCGGTTCGAACATATCAATATATCGATCAGTAGTATTATAATTATAGGGGGTGGAGTTAGAAGGTGAAATGCGACTAAATGCAACATGAACAAGGGAAAAAGATGACTAATATCATGACAGGATTTCCTGAACGCCATCGCTTCGGAAACCAACTAAAAAGTTGCGCACAATCTCGCTTGATTCCCAGAAAACAGCATGGGGAATACTGCAGATCGAGCTATTGACAGAGGAACATTTCGAGGCTCTGAAACGTTAACAGCAAAACGACCAAGTTTTACTGTCCAAGCCAGATAAAGGCTCGGGAATTGTCTTGATGAATAAATCCGACTAAACTGATAAGATAACTACCATCCTCTCAGACAGATCCAAATGTAAGAAAATGGAATCCGAGAAAGACAAGACGCATGTGATTGAAAAAGCGGTGTCCAAAATATAAAGACGTCTTAAACAATCCGAAAGCATTGACACTGGGACTTTCGAGCGTATCCGCCCCAGTGGCACAACAATCTCTCGGCCCTATGGTCTCCCGAAAGTGCACAAACCGGGCCTACCTCTCAGGCCCATCCTCGATATGTCTAATTGTCCTTATCATGCTTTGGCCAAATGGCTTGTCAGTCTGTTAGAACCAATCAGGAGAGAAGTATCGACACACAGCTTAAGGGACAGTTTTGATTTCGTCGATCAAATTTGAGATCTGAATGTTGATAAACACTTCATGTTCTCCCTGGACTTCGAGTCATTGTTTACCAACATACCACTCGCTGAGACAATAGACTATTTTTGTGAGTTGATTGAGCGCAACGGTAAGGATATTGGAATTCCCATATCGGATCTTAAGGAACTCCTGCTTCTTTGTACCTACAATGTTCAGTTTACGTTCAACAGTCAAATTTATCAACAGAAGGACGGGGTTGTGATGGGGTCTCCTCTAGGTCTCATATTGGCAGATTTTTTCATGACCAAGCTAAAGACTCAAAAATTAGACGCACTCATTGGACGGTTAACATTATATAGTCGCTACGTAGACGACATTTTCGTACTTGCCGACGAAACCATCAGCACAACAGGCGTACTAAGCAGTTTCAATTCAGTCCATACTAATATCAAGGTTACTATTGAATCAGAACAGAACGGACAGTTAAGTTTCCTCGATGTCAATGTTAAAAATAAGACTGACGGGACCATAAAACGCAAGGTCCACGGAAAGCGAACGTGGAAAGGTCAGTATATTCACTTTGACAGCTTCGTTCCGTTGCAATAAAAACGCAACCTAATTAGCTGCCTGACCGAGAGAGCAATGAAGATATGTGAAAATAGTCAGACTATTAAAAACTAACTTTTTCTCGTTGCACGTCGTAGTAAGATATGCGCCTGTTCTTTCCATGGTACCGTTGGCTGTTTAGGGAAAGGATTTGCGTCTAAATTGAGTTCGGTATAACGACACTGAATTATCGGAACTACTCCTCAAAACGGTGGTGGTATGACGACGAACTGTCTCTAGCTTTGAAATTCTTAATAAGGAACTACAATCTTCGGTATGAAATGACTGCAGTGATAGCTGATTGGTGCAAACTATTGGGGCCAATTAAGGAGAACATCCGCACACCCATTCACTTTAGTTAAATTTGAACCTAAAGAGCTATGGTTTTCTAATTAACGGCCTATTATCGTCGAAAGTACACAATACGATTAGATATCGAAATAAAATAAACAATACAATAAAGAATCCAAAAATTCCTGCTATGAAATCTGCAGACAAACAAAAGGTCTGGGTGACAGGATAAGAGGAATGAAGTTCGAGTTTTGACAGCGTGAACTAAGGTCAATATTTTTGTTTCGATTGAGGGTTTATGACGACCTTTCGTCTTTTCCAGAGTGAATCAACCTCTAATGTATAAATACACATAAACTGATGAAAAATAGCATTCGCTGTAGATCGGAGGGCAAAATTCTTCCCAGAACAACGCAATCAACAGTCCTGGAAATTAAAAGTTATTGAATAGCTTGGGAATAAAATCAGATTTTTATCAAAGCATCTACGCAGCTAGGTGTACTTATCTTCAAAGTACTGGTACCTTTTGAAAACAAAGTTCTAGCTCTGGTAAAAGGAGCAAACACCCCAGTTTCTGAGGTTTTCCAGACATAATTAGTGATTTAGCAGAGAACCCGTAAGCTGGCACCATCAAAAATTTGTTAACCTATTGACCTCATATTTTCCGCTTTATATTTCGTCGGGCTGGTTACCGAACGTCCCACCCCAGATATTTCTTTCGTATAAGTCGGCATGGTTTCTTTTCAAGGCATTGAAGTTTTGCTGTCGTCAGGAGCGAGTGCATATCAAGAAGAGATCACTGGAGAGTGCTTCACTCAATATTCATAGAAAGCATTCGCACAAGGATATCTGTGACAGACAAAATATTGGTAGGGCGATAATTCCGTTGTATACGCTCCATTCTTTCGAATACTTTGAACGATGTCATTTAGAATGTTGTCCAAAATAGCCTCTACGAACGCAGAAGAGATGGGAGCGCCAAACATATGTTTTCCCAGACCAGTGTGCACCTGAGAACCTGTAACTGTCACCTGTCTCTATGCTTTAGTAGCACACCTCACTGCTCTCAACATTTTATCCCTTCTGAAGTTTCAGACGATCGGCACATGACTGGGCGCGTCTCAGCCAGGAAAACCTCAAGCCAACTACGGAACACGCGATAGATGTCCTTATTTGACTGCTTTCACACACTCACACCTCACGTGCTTTTGTGGCCAGCTTTTGGTCCAAGCAACGCAGAAGCGCAAGTGCATGTGAGAAGCACGTGATTTGGGTGACTCATTCCCTGATCGATGTTTCCGGAGCTACATCAAGCAAAAGGTATGCCATCGGCGCGCTCCGTGGTATTTTTTCAAACAAAGATTGCACCCGGACATCTGGGCCTTGGAAGATGAACGTTAGCAACCAGACAAAAAAAGGAGCTAAAACATGCTGCTGATTTAATTGATTTTGCAAAAATGGTAGATGAGTTGGCGTCCCAAAAAGTTACCATTCCTTGATCCCATGTAATTGAAAATGGACGATTAAGGTGCAAATCTGAGAGGGAATCATCATTCCAGCCGCTCAGCAGACGTGTTCATCAATTTGGTGGTTTCTCTTGCGGTTGCTGAATCATGTATTTTTTGGCTGTCGAGCTCGAGGAAGCAAGCTCGACTAAATTTGGTGACTTTTGAAGAACACGAAATGTTGTAATTCTTCAAAAATGGCTACACTGTAATAGAGGTAGACCAGGAGTTTTAATTTGGATAAACGAAAATTCATCACTTGGTTGATGCATACGACACCAGTGTTCGGTACACATCATTAGGCACTTTCTGATAACTTTGAGTTTGGTTGCGACTGAGTGATATGATGCAAGCTGTGAAGAACGTTGGTTTTGCAATATCACTAAGTTGTCCAAACAAAGTCACGCCCATGCAGCTAAAATCAACAAAGCATAATTTACGGCTGGGTAAAAGTTCGCGAGTATGTTCATCCGCTTTTAAGAGAAGCAACCACCATCAGTCTAAAAACATGTGTATACATCAAGCGTACCTGCAGCCTAGTGGTGGGTAGTTCGGGGACTACGCCTACCTGATGTACCTCAAGAAGAATGAGATCGCCAGTGAGCAAACGAACAGTTTTCGAAGAATTGGTGAGTAATGTGTTCTGAGAAGGAAATCTACCTTGAGACCTCGAATACCATGTCATGTGAAACATGAGGCGGCATTTGTACGGCGAAAGAAGGAAATCTACCTTGAGACCTCGAATACCACGTCATGTGAAACATGAGGCGGCATTTTCAGCTCGATTTTTAGTGGAACCGCCCGTTATCGCCAAGTCAAGTTGCAAACGGGTGCATTTTGTTACTTGTTTACCTTTTGATAACCAAGCAGAAAATAAGGGGATCGGAGACTCACTCACAAAAAAATGGAAGTTTTTGCGTTCGGTTGTAAGGGCCGATTCTTGACACGGTCAACTGATTGGGATCAGCATCCGGAAGGCCAAACAAAAGAAACTAAATGACCAAGGAAGATGGTTACAGAAACCACCCCGAGATGAATGCCTATGGGGTTAGAGTCGCCCGAATGCAGCGATTTGCTTAGTAGATGTGTGTTAATATGTCTTCGTTTATATGACCTAAGTGTTTTGATAAACGGCTTGAATGTATGCAATTTTTTCGCTTATACTCATGGTCAACATATTACAAGACTGTACGTTTGGACAACGGATACACTGGATCACAACTGGTCTGATAACTACAGAGCTTCCAAAGCCCATCGGACACAAACCTTCGTATAATGACGGGTTGAATGCATATTTAGTTGTAAAACACTCAGAGGCCTATTATATAACCTCATGTTGGCTCCTTTTGGAAAGGCACTGTTTCATCCGAGGAAAACCAGGCACGATCTATATTGGTGTTTGAGTATGGACTCTAAGGCCTTTTCAGAAGCAAGCCAAATCTCACGAGTGTGTAGTGAGGATATCCCAGCTAGAGGAGGCCTCTTCTGTTGCGCCTTATTCGGGAGCTTACGGTAAGACGAATATTTGGTCGTGTTTTTCGTATGCGATTCAATGTCTTCCTCCATCTACAGTAATACGCTTTCCCATACGTGGCCGTGTCACATCAACGCAACATATGTGGTGGTCAACATCTCGCTACGAGCAAGTGAATGACACAGCCAAGCTGAAACAGAGGTCGGAAAACAAGCTAACTACAATCCGTAAATTTATCGCCAAAGCTGAGATCGTCCTCGCCACTGACCTTAAAATGAGATCCGTAAATTTATCGCCAAAGCTGAGATCTGAGATCGTCCTCGCCATTGACCTTAAAATGAACACCGTCTTAGCACATTGGTGTTTAGTGAAAACACCAGAAATCCGCACACATCGTCCTTATGAGTTTAGGCGACTTACTAGTCACGCAAATCACAGTCTAAACTGAACACGTGCCTTCCTCTGTCGCCCTCACTTGCAAGGGTGCGGTTTGGATTCCGGTATCAACATTATAGCGTTCTAAATCACTTGGAGATTCATTTGCCATGAAAAATAACCCACTTTGTCTTATGGTGTCATTTCAACCGGGTACTTAGTGTTCGGACAGGAGAATCTCGGAGCCGAATAGGAACTCAGAAACTGCTTCATTAAGACCGCACACCTAACTCCAATGATCGCAAAGCGGATGGTGGGTAAGCGAATCGGAAGTTCACAGCGTGGCGGTCGAAAGAAGAAACAGTGTACTTTCAAGGCAGCCAGTCCTTCAAAGATAAAGTACTGGCAGTATGATCAGTAGTTGACGATGCTGCTGATGGGAGAAGACAAGATGCAGAGTGAGTGGTGGCCCAGGTGTCACCAGGTCTTCACCATCTGGATTCAATCGGATCAAGCCATTGCTGACGGCGTAGAATGGGGACTGACCAGTTTTAAAGCCTCAGATTTCCAGTGCGGAATTAGGTAGCATTACTCTGCCTTATTGTCTCCTAACTATTTCCTACACAAGTGAGAGAATGGTATCGTCTTCGGTTATGAAGTTCAACGAAAACGCGATTGGATCGTTCATCAGCTGGCTCCTCGATACCTGCAACAGAAAATATACTGGACCACAGTGCATCCGTTTGGGTGTCGGCTGGTTCACCGGCGAAACTAGTGAGGATGGGGTCTGTGCTCAAGATATGCGTGAAGTGGAACGATCAAGACACGAATCTACTAAAAGTTCATTTTCCATGGCAGTGTTATATGGCTGAGTAAACGGAGTGTCTATTCATGTGGTGAACAATTTGAGGAGGGACCTACAAATCAGCCAAACATCCCGTGGAATTTTTTGAACTCCACCTCGAAGGACTGTACAGCCTACCTTCTCTTAGGTGTGTTCTATTTTGCAGTCATCAAAGTAAAATTGTTTGTTCTATTTCATCATGGTCACGTGTATCAGTCTTGATCAGCTGAGTCCCACATCCCTTCGTATTCGGGAACAGAAGAACCAGCAGCCGTGAGAATAATATATGATGCGAACCCCCCACCTGTCGCCTTCTCATTCAACAGCACTCCTTGAAGAGGGGCTTGAAACAAATACAAACGAGACATTTTGAAGTAGCAGCGGAACTAAATACCAAGTAGCCGAAACAGAAATTTGAAGACTATCGCATCGATCCACTCCGGTCGACAAGGCAAACAGATGGTGTTGGCCGACTTACTGAGAATGTTGGTTGGCCAACCAAGGATACGTCTGTGGCTAGTTCCCGCACACAGCACAAAATAAAATTTCAACTGGAATGCTCGATTGATAATGGGTGAACTTATGGGTCTTGTAAAGAGATCGCGAGCACAGTTTCCATTTGAATGAAGACCCTGTGGCTCAATGACAAACCGACTGCTGCTAGCGCAAATTAGAGCTTATGGAAAACAGGTGAGGTGATGATATCACGAAGTGTTTTCAAAACATGACTTCATAATAGATTCTATTGCTTTTAGATACTTACACTACATGTTCTTTGGAAACGTGCCGAATGTATTCTAGAGTTGTCACACCGTACCTTAGTGTAGCGTCATCATCACTTTTCATCGCAGTTCTCCCACGCCAGTCCTCATTGCAACGCCATCGAGCACCTGAATCAGCTTCCATTCAACATACTAACCACGCACTTCCGTGTGCTCTATCGTGAAGATAGCCGAACACTGATACTTCAGTGTGTCTACTTTCGTTATTGCATTCTGACGGTTCCCACCAAATAACTGTTATTGCGAGTTCAACAGCTGTGGGTAGGAACAGAGAAGGAGGGTGTGCTTCATCCAGTTAAGGTAACAATTACTTTGGCAACGTAGAAAATGACAGTGGGAGCGCCGAATACCAGTGCAAACGTAGACAGGCGGATAAATGACGCGCAAACTTGCGGCAGTTTATGCGGCTAATACACACAGGACAAAAACACCTGTAAGATTCTTTCGGTGCCTAAATGTCATGGCACTCGAAGGAAGTACGAGAGCTGAGGCAATGTTAAGTTGCCCAAGCCTGGAGAGGGGTAGTTAAGGTACAGTGATTGGGTTTGAATTGTGAACCTTTCTGTCAGTAATTTTTTGCGTTCTAACCGCTGAGCGGTCTCAAGCTCCCCAAAGAGGGGATGGGGGTGTCATGGGATGTTAAGGGAAACTCAGAACCAGATCTACTTAGCTGAATATAGGATTCGTCCATTCTTCCGTTTATGATGATATCAAAACAAACATGTCTAGGAGTCGACCAGTTCTAAGGCTACTGTATGAAGTGAAGAGAGTAGCGGAAAGCCCAGAAATCCAATGATACTTCAAAAGGTATATCTCAGTCTACCAGAAAGAACAAAACCCCTCCATCACTGAGTATTATAAGTTATTGCCTGTAATACAGTCATTACTCACTCCGCGTCACTCAATCCTTCAGGGAGGCAGAATTCGCCAAAAAATTAAGCAGAATGCATCTTGAACTCCTGAGTTCGTAGTGATACTCACTCACTTGTCATCATTGTTTATATGAGCAAAAACATGAGCAGACCGGAGTGGAGGATGACATGCCCCAGAAAAAATGGGACGGCTTGCATGCGCTTCACTTTGCAGCTGGGGCTCAAAGCCTGTTCGCAGTTTTACTCAACACTTTCCTGAATTTGGACACAAGAAATTGCAAGCCATCCTAAACTTTGGCCTTTCTCTTGACTAGACCTGTTACGTTGATTCATTCCTTTTAGGTCTTGGAACCATGTGGTACATATGTCATAAGGGCGTCATGAATTCTTGGTTCCACAGAAAATGGATATTGAAAAACTGGATACCTTTTTCCCCACTGTGAATTACATTGAATAATTTGAAGCAAGCTTGGGCTACATTATGTCGTTCTGACGCAGAAAAGATCATGTTGGAGGGTCACTGCTCTTGCGGGAGAAGCTTTCCTTACAATCCACAAAACTGTTGAATAAAAGAAGGAATATGATACGAAACATATTTTTCATCTATTTACAGCAAACTGGATTCGACGAATTGGCTGACGGCAAACAAACTAGCCGTTGGAGGGAAATTCGATGCAACATGAACCAATAGGAGACCCAGTTTGACCAAACAAAGGATCAAGCCGTCGCCTGGAGATGGAGTGTCCCCGTTAGGCATAGCGGTCAGGTAAAGGCTAGCAAGAGATTAGATGAAAATGAATGTAAGGTTGGCGAAGCAAGAAAAGGCGAGGCAACACCATAGAAACAAGAAATAGTAGTTCAGAGAGACGAAAATAGAAAAATTAGTATAAGAGGCCTCTTCCGAGAGAGACAGCTATCGTGTGGGTCCCCAAAGCATCCTATGACTCCATCGAAAACAGGTAATCTCTACAGGACTACTGAAATGCCCATTCTTCTGGAACATTCCCCAATGAAAGTGTGCTGAGACTGGAAGAGCACACTTGCCAGAAAGTCTCT